ACTAAACACAAACTTCAAAGAACAAATACTGTAGTAAATTTACAATAAGTATATCCTCTGTGTATATGTGTAATATCTTAAAAACGTTACTATTTTTTCAAAATATATTGAAATATATAGTATATATAATTTATCCAACATATAAAAGAAAAAGAAAATAGTCGGCCTAGAGGTTTTTACTTATGTCTAGTCATGGGGTCGACGGTGAAAAACTCAGGACAATGAGGCTAGCATTCGGAAGTGTTCTATTAATTCCTTAAGGTCCAAGCGCCCAAAGGGGCTAGTGCAATTCACCAATCCCCATGTATGTGTATTTGTGGATGTGTTGAGACTAAGTGGCATGTTGATATGCTTCGAAATCTTATAGGTAAATTTTTATGCGTTTGCATTTGGATGCATAAATTTTAATTTACTTCGAATCTAAAAATAACTAGCCGTGGAATAATTATAAATATACTGGAATTTTTTTTTCCAAACGACAAAATATACTGGATATATAAAAAAATTTTAGAAGCATTAATTTTATTTCCCTTGAATAACAATAAGCATACTCGATATTTATGATTCCTTTTAGAAGCATTAACTACCTTTTACTATAATCTGTTATTCTAGAAATGGTTTTTAAGGCATAAATTTGTTTCTCAATTTTTCTCTTTTCCTCAGTTTTTCTTTCAAAATTATAACAAAAATTATTAATTTAAATTATAATATAATTTTTAAAGTTACTAGTTTTTGTATTTATTATAATTTTTCATGTATAATATATTAAATCAATCATCTCTTAATGAGATTCGAGTAGACATCTATATTGTACAAAATAAATAAACAATTATATTTACCTTTATAATAAAAACTACATTATATATTAATCTTATTTTCAAAAATAAAAAATTAAGCTAATTTAACTACAAAGTAGTTGCATGATATAAGTCAAAACATATTTAATTATAAGATGAATAAGTCGTATAAGTGACGGGTGTAATTGTAAATATAAATAATAATATTTTTTAAAAAGCATTTAAATTCACAATATTTTTCTTTTCAATATCTTTTAATTGATATTTTAACATTCACTCGTGTAATACACTTATACACATGTATTGTATTAAAGATAATTTTTTGCTCTTTAAGGTTTCTTGTCATCGAGGGTGTGATTCGATATGAATTTGATTAGTTTCTTTGTTAACTAGTTAATTTTGAAAAAAAGTAGTATGATTAAGTGTTAGTGGGAATTAAAGTTTAAATTAAAATAATATTAAAGTAAAAAAATAATTAAATTTGATTTGATGTAAAGTATGAAAAAAAATATGAATAGAAGTAATGATTATTTAAAATTATGTGAGCTGATGGATAATGAATTAAAGTTGATGTGACGTGTAAGAATAATCGGTTAATATTATTTAATTATATTGATAATATTGAGAATGGATGAGTTTCGTTACCGTTGAATTAAATTTAAGTTGGATTGATTTTTTTTTTTACTAATCAAATTTATATCCATTCACTCTTAGTTTCACAGCACTCTCTCTCTCTCTCTCTCTCTCTCTCTCTCTCTCTCTCTCTCTCTCTCTCTCTCTCTCTCTCTCTCTCTCTCTCTCTCTCTCTCTCTCTCTCTCTCGTTCACAGCACTAACACTGGTAATTCTCTCAAGCCATTTCGTTTTGCACAGCTTAACTTTGGTGTGTATTGTCCTTGGATATATTAAACCAAATCTATATTTACTTTTTCACTGACCAGTAGAATTTATAAGGAGATACATTGTATACTTAGTGTTTGATGTTAGTCCTAAAAGATTACTTTCTCGAAGATTGAGTATCAGAAATGAATTTGTTCTTGTTGCTTGCTCTACCCATACCTGTACGTATGTTCTTTTTCTTTCCAAGGTTGTTTCATATTATTCCCAATAGAGGTTTTTCCCAGTTTTATTAAAAAAAATAAATAAAGTTGTGATCACCTGCTACTGCTGCTTTTTATTAGGTAAAATAAAATGGGTGAGAAGAAGAAGGCTGGTGCTATGCTGGTGAGGCTCGTCTCGGCTGCCGGGACAGGGTTTTTCTACGTGGTGAAAAAGACAAAGAGGCTTCAGAGCAATAACATAAAGCTCGAGTTCCGAAAGTACGATCCTCGAGTGAATCGCCATGTCTTGTTCACCGAGGCCAAGATGAAATGAGTTTGATGCTGAGGTTGTGTGTGTGCGCATGCGTTTTCTTTATAATTCCTTGTTTTTTTTTCTCATCAAATCTCTTTTCAGTGTGGATGTTGGGAAAATTAGTTTTATACTGGTTTTCCGGTTCATTTTTCCTAAATGGAAGAATATGGAAAAATCTCAAACCCATTTTATGGTAAAATGAAAAAGAATAATTCTAAGTTTGACGTGTAGGAAAACATGAGTTGCGTCTAAAATATCTCATGAATGTCACCCACCATCATTAACTTGAAAATTAAGAGTTCTTTTATATTCAAGTTCATATATATTCATGTTGTGTTCTTGTGTTTCTACTTTTTTTCGAGTACATAAATATTAGTAGTGTTAGCCGAAGGCTCATGTATTTGTGTTATTAATATACATAAGTCAAAAATCGTCGTATCTTGGAGGCGTTAGCCATAAATCGTTGATAATATACGCGGCTATTTCTTCTTTCAGAGAGAATGTGTGGTTAATTAACTCAACTTTGTTTCATTCATTCGTTTTGCTTCACCGACTTAACGCTTGCTTTTTCATTTTAGTTCACAAACCATTTATGTGATGGATTTGAAAATATTTGTAATTGAACTCTACTGAAATGATCTCTCTTTCATTCAACTACGTATACCGAAAATTGATCCTTAGCTTCATCTTCATGGGTTGTCATTAGGCATGAACACCAATTTGGAATTTGCTCAAGTACTTAGTTCCTACACTTGAATGTGTCGTAGTGCATTGTTTTGGGCAGTTGGCTCGACCTAAATTATATGCTTCACTTGTATCTTGTTATTTTTTTTTTGCCTTTCATCAGTTATGCGTATTATCATGTTTTTTCGTATTAATTTCTAGTTAGATGCTACCTATTACGATGAGCTCGATCGGATGTTAATGAAATGTAGTTGATGATATGCTATATATGTGAGGTTGCCTAGCTAATGTCAACAATTTGAGACTTCCATTCTCATATTTTGGCTGGGTTTAAATGTTGTTAAATTTTTATTTATTTATTTATTTTTTTAGGCTTGTTTTGCACCATTTTGTTCCCTCAGACTATGCTATTTAAGCAGGTCCCGTGGATGCTCTACTCTGGTGCATAAGATCGTAGCATATAAGTACATTTTATTTGTTTATTTATAATATAATTAAAGTTTGTTCTGATGCAAAATTTGTTTAATCTGCAGGTTCAGATATTAGTGTCCTATAGTAGTAAATTTCATTGCACATCCAGCATGCAGGTCATGTGTCGACTTGAGAACCTAATTTTACTTGTTATTTCTTTCTCTCTCTTTTCTTTTTTCAATTTGAATGAGGATCCCAAAATAAATATTATGTTATTACATTGCTTGTTGATTTGCCTAGATTCGATGACTAAGTTTGTAATCAGCTAAAAATATGAAGCCTGAGTTGAAAACACAAGCTCTTCAAGTATATTCCACCAAGAGCATCATAAAAAAGATTTTAATTTTGTACTTCAAAATAAGACTTGAACTTGTCTTATTTCAAAGAAGCTGAAACAAAATATAACCAATCCTCGAGGCAAACTCTCTCTCTCTCTCTCTCTCTCTCTCTCTCTCTCTCTCTCTCTCTCTACACGTAAAAAGCTTCCAAATCATCCTCCAAACCCTCGTCGTCTACCATTTCCTACCACCTCCTTTCAGCTGGTGCACCAATTACTCGTGGAGATGACCACTCGAACGTGGCTTCTGCCTTTCTTTCCTCTGAAGAGTTCGTCTTCTACTGGTCCAGTCCGTCGGGCCTCCGAGGGGCTAGATCGAGGCCAACGCCGGGTCCTCTTGTTTTGCCTCGTCTCCTGGGGTTTGAGATAGGGCTTTCCATCTGTCTGGAGCCTTTAGCCAGTTTTGAGGGGCTCTAGTCGGGGTTGTGTGGGGGTAGGGGTTGATGTGGGTCTCCCGGGTGCGACTCCGAGTTGGTCCTAGCTCGTTTGTGATGGATCTATGTTAGCCTGTCATCCTTGGGTGAAACGAGTGGATAGGTTGAGTTTCGAGCTTTGGTCTATCTTGGAGGTGTTGTCGTCGGCTCTTGTCTTATGTGGTGTTCTGTTGGAGCGGTTGCCGATTGTTGGGAGGGCTTTGATCTTTTTTTGTTCTGTTTTAGGTGTTTTTGTTGTCGTTTTAGGTGTTGTTGGTGTGCATTGTTTGTGTTGTTTGTTTTATGGTTGTAGGTTGATTTTCCATTTGGGTGTGTTGTGTTGATTCTCCTTTCGGGAGGGACATTATTATTATCGTGAGTGCGTTATAGTGTTTAAGTTGTCCTCTCACTAGATTCAGCTAGATGGCTGTTTAATTTATTCTGGCTATTGTGTAAATATAATTGTGTTTTTTTTTTAAACTCCTATCATTCCATTAATAAAAAAAAAAAGTCTTATTTTTATTTTATTGAGAAGCCGAAGACTTGGTAATTATAACTATTTATTTTTACAATTTTTCATATTTGATATTAAAATTTATATATGGTATTATACTTGCTACTCCGATACTACGGAGTATATTACCGGTTGTACCGAAAATACTCTGTCATATAGAAGGATCAACATCTTCCACACAACTTAAACCATACTGTGCTACAAAAGAAGCATCTCATCGAAAAAAATTGACAAAGAAAAGAAAATCATCCAAAAAGAAAATGATGGCAGGAGTATCATGTATAACGGTGTTGAAGAGTGAAACAAACAAACATTATTTGACTGCAAAATTTACAGCTAAAACTAACACGAACAACAGGTCTCTTGTAATTTACAAAACAGGCACATTGAGGGTGTTGCACTGCACTAAGATGCAAAAAGAAAGCTATCACCTTATTTGCATTTTGTTACAGGACGATATCCGTTCTTCTTTCTCATCCATATTGTCGATCGCGTCCTTTTAACGTGATCATCAAAGAGCCGATGCCTGTCAATAGAAAAAAGTTCACATGCAAGGATTTTCGGACCAATATTTATGACTAGTTCACAATACTTTCCAGCTAGAACCTCAACCTTGTGAACGAATGATAAAATCAACAATATTTCATGCAGAAATTTAACAGTTAATTTACAAACTATTCGATGTTTAAGCCATAGCAGAGGGACAAAACGAGTTTAACTTTTCAAAATTATAAATAAAACTGTTAAAGGATGTAGTAATTGAGTATACACAAACTTCCATGAAAGGGAATATGATGTTGACTAAAAACAGGTACTTTGTAATTATAATGGTCAAGGGATTAATCAATGTATGCCAACTTTCAAATCATCCACCTTTTGAAGATAGAACATACACCATGCAAATAATGACAAAAACAAACCTTTCATATTCTAGCTTCTGTTTAACAATTCCATTTAACAGCAGCTCCGAACTATACACAGGGCTACCTGCAATAATCAGTTGATCAGAAAATGTTCCTAGTTCTATCTAACAGTACTAGTTTGTCGGAATATATTTACCTTTTTCAAGAAAAGGGACACAGACATCATAATCTTCATTACAAGATAAGATCAGAAGATCATCCGCAAGTTTTTCATCCTTCAGTACTGATCGGCCGACTCTCTCAATTACCTGATGGAGAATGCAAACAAAAATCAATATCTTCAATTCAAACAGTTCCATTGGCAAGTCAATTTAAACTTGCTCAAGTTCCAAAGAAAAATAGAAGCTAATAAATTCATGGGCAACTTACCAAACCATGAACTGCTTTGACCAAGTTTGCTAAAATGTCTTTTCCAGGTTTTGTATTAGGGGTAATCAAAACTTTCTGGCCCTGCGGTAAAGAATGTAAGATTGCATCAGAACTATAAGAAACAAAAAAAAGGAATAAATTAAAATAGAGTTAAAGAATCATATTTTAGCAATAATCCAACATGTACCTGTAATAGTGGATGTTGGCCTGCCCTTGAGAGAGAAGCTGGCAAACAGAAGCCAAACTCTCTTTCCTTCTTTGAATCTCGAAGTATATAATTCTTCTCATCAATAAGACAACTAGCTTGTCCACAACTTTCGAGCCATAAGTGAGTGACCACTGGCTTTCCAGAAGCAATGGCTTCTAGCATGTTCCTGGTTCGGACAAATTCATCTGCCACAAAATGGGAGGCATCTGACATTAAAGTAGCAACTGCACCCCCCAACCTAGCTAGTATCTGTAAAAAAAAAAAAAAAAAATACAAACTAACATAATTTACAACTTGACATGTCATACTACAAATGATTAAGCACGAAAAAAAAAAGGAAAACAAAGAAAATCAAAAAATGTATCCTTTGCAATCTCATGTTTACGTATAATTTGTAACTATCACCAACTTAATTAATAGCCAAAGCCATAAAACAACAAATACTATTTCTTTGGTCAAAAATAACAAAATAAAATGAAAGGGGAAAGGGAAAAAAAATAAACAAACCTTTTTCTGATGCTTGATAACATCCTCATCCAGGTGCTGGCTAAACAAGACTCTAACATTTGTGATATCTTTCCTCTTTCGTGACTCTTTCATCCTATTAAACGACCCGGGTGAGGCGCTCGCAGCTTTATTCATTTCTGTAATAAGAGACAACCTCGCAAGATTCTTTCTGCAAGACTGTGTGTGGTATTCATCACCCATGCAGACAGGAGACACACTGTTTGCTGGTATTCTGGAAACATCAGTAGGGGGAGATGCTTCTAATTTGTTATTCGTTTTTGTAGCATCCGGAAATTTCTCAGCAATATTTTTCTCGTCATTTTTCTCAGATGAGCTGGCACCAACTTTTTCCTGATCAGTAGCATTTTGAGTGGCATCATGTCTTGAACTTCCAATTTCAACATTTTGATCTGAAGTAATTTTTCCAGAGCCAGTACCTAAAGAAAAATTTGTTCCAATCTTTCTCAATCTTTTTAATCTTGGATTATGACATTGTGCATCAACATGATCCACAGCAAGATTTTCCTTCCGAACTCTTTCTTCTGGTAAATTATCTACTGCATCAATATGTGAAGCAGCAGATCTGTTCAACCAACTCTTTTTATCATTCTTAACATGGACGGTTTCTGCATTTTTATCTTTTGAAGCTGATCTCTTACGAGTGATGCATGCCAGACGATTTAAGTCACTCCTGGTGACAAACGACTTGGCGCCTGCTTTTGAACGAACTGACTCTGCACCTTTCCGGGTTCGATGATCCAAAGGCACGGAAAAGTCAAGATGGTCCTCCAACTGACATTTTTTATCGGACTTTTGACCGGTCAACTTCACCCTGCTATTGGACAAAACAGTCAAATCCATAGCTTCTGGCAAAACGGATGGCTTATCACTCGTGCTCTCGCGTGTCCTTTTCAATTGCTTGGCTTTTCGAGTGACCACTCCAATACTCGGGGTGTGGGGTCTTTTGTCGGTCAAGCTTTCTTCTGGACGAGCGGTTATTATGTCACTCGATTGATTTTTTCTGGTAGTTTTTACTGTGTCAGGGTTATTATTAGTCCCATTATCTTCAGACAACTGGACCTCGAAGCACGTCTCCATTGCCTCAGCAGTCATTTGTGCATCAGCATGATCCACAGCAAGATTTTCCTTTTGAACTCTTTCTTCTGGTAAATTGTTGTCTACTGCATCAATATGTGAAGCGCCAGATCTGCTCAACCAACTCTTTTTATCATTCTTAATATGGACGGTTTCTGTATTTTCATCTTTTGAAGCTGTTCTCTTTCGAGCAATGCATACAAGACGATTTAAGTCATTCCTGGTAACAAACGACTTGGCACCTGCTTTTGAATGACCTAACTCTGTGCTTTTTCGAGTTCGATGAGCCACAGGCATGGAATGGTCCTCCAACATACGTTTTTTCTCCGACTTTTGACCGGTCAGCTTTACCCTGCTATTGAACAGATCAGTCAAATCCATAGCTTCTGGCTTATCACTCGTGATCTGGCGTGTCATTTTTAATTGCTTGGCTTTTCGAGTGACCACTCCAATACTCGGGCTGTGGGATCTTTCTTCGCTCAAGCACTTTTCTGGATGAGCGGTTATTATGTCACTCAATTGATTTTTTCTGGTAGCTTTAACTGTGTCAGGGTTATTATTAGTCCCATTATCTGCAGACAACTGGACCTCGAAGCACAACGTCTCCATTGCCTCAGCAGCCATTTGAGTATCGGCACCCACATCATTCATTTCAATGTTATTATCCTTGTTTTTCTCAGTCTCGACCAAGTTAGGCTCGACCTCCACATTTAGCCGTTCATCAATTAAATCCTTCGTAATATAGTTTTGGGCCACGCTTCTTTCCACACTATTGAAAGATGTTTTTCCCTTTGTTCTAGTTTTACGCAACATCGGCCCTGAATCTGAATAAGCCAAATCCTTCTGTTTGCTCTTAGTGCAGTTCCGCTCCTTTTCATCTCCATTGGGATTCTTAGATCTGGTACGGCATCTCTTTTTTCCATCTCCATTCTCAAAAAACAGCTCTTTTTTCTTGATGAAAAATTCCCCTCCGCCATCATCCTCACGACTATCATCCCAATCATAAATTCCATGTTCCCCATTCACTTCTTTCAAAGCAGAACTCTTTTTAGCCAATTCACGTGAACCTTTCACGCCAGAGGCAATCTTTGTTTTTTTCTCGGCTTTTTGAACTGTAGCCCCCACACCATCACCAATATCCATAACATTAAGATCAAGAAACTTGTCCACAACCTCGAGTGCATGGGCTTGCGAAAGCTCCCCAGGTTCTTGAGAATTGGCATAGCTTAACCCAGCCAAACAGCCTTTTTCAGAATATATGTTGGCATTATCATCTGTTTGGTTAATATCATAGGCTTCAGTTTGATCGACCTCAGCAAATTCAACGTCTTTGAAAAGTTTCCTGACTGCTGCACAAGCCACCTTGCATTTGTCCAAGTTTCCGAGTTGTCCAGTGTCTTCCGTGGATACATCCCGAAAGTCACTGTGACAGTTTTTCATGCCTGACTCCAAAGAACACTGAGCAACAGATGTATTGCCTTTTTTAAATGTTTCTTGTTCTAGAGAGGACTTGTCACTGCTACTGGGGCATGAATTGCGTTTAGCTCCATGTTCACGGGCAGCCAAACCAGAGGACCGAATAGATGCAGCCCGGATTGAGGTAAATCCTCTGCTGAACGTCTCTGAAACAACACATCATCACAGACTCACAGTCAGACTAACCTTGTGAAATACTTGCTATCCACAAAAGCAAATACTTTTTGCAATTTCAGCAATTTGGGAATTGTTTTATTCTCCCTTGTGGGAATTGTTTTGGTTTTGGATTTTGTTTTAGTGTATGCGTTTCTATTGGATCTAGGTTGTCTTTGTGCAATCCTCCTAGAATCAGCTTTTTTAGTTGGTTGATTCAGCTGTTTTAGCTGTAATCTTGTCTGTAATTTCTCTTTTATTAATATATTTATAATAATAAATGCATTACCTGGTCTGAAAGTGTCTGATGTGTTCTGCAGACCAATGGAATCCACATCATCAATTTTCTCAGACCCATCCTGGGACAACACTTGGGTCTCATAGAAAGCTTCAGCTTTATTTGCACCTTCAGATGAGTTAACAGCCACAGTATCTAACTCATCAAAGTTTTTCATGCAATCAAGATCGCCCAACACTTGGGTTTCATCAACATCATCCACCACTTGAGTTTCCCCAGCCAGATTCACATACTGCGTTTCGAATTCATCTTCAAAAAGATAACACTCATCAACAGGCATCGTATTTGTCAGATACTGGAAGTCATCAATTTCGTAGCCATCACCAACTGGAATTTGACAATAGCAAAAAAAAAAAAAAATCAGCAAACAAATTATTTATATTGTATAAGAAACAAAAAGGCCATATTTTACAAAAACATGTTAGGCAAACAATGACTTCTTATAAATCCAACTCAAACACCAGTAAAGTTGTGTCTTATCTCTATATGAAAAACTATGTTAATAGCATTTTTTTTACTTGACCACAAACTTTCACTGGCCCAAACCACTCGATGAAACACCTACCCAATCATTACATAATGAAACTCTTAATTACTCATAGATAACATAATATGATCTAACGATTAACTCTACAGCAAATCAAAACCCAAAACTAATGTAAACAATATTACTCGAACGGATTAGAAGACCTAACTTTACAAAGAAATGATTAAAACTCCCAGCCATCTGAAAGGAAAGCAGGATTAGAAGATCTAAATTACTTTTGCTACTGAAATAATCCCTGAATTGGAAATCTAATGGATGCGTCAAGAATAAAAGCCCCAAACAAAATAACATACCCGGGCATTGACTGTCGACTTGCTGGGTCTCGAAATCGGGCGAATCTACACTGAAATTGTTATTTTTAGAATCATTTGCGTCGCGGTTACTGATATCTTTAGAAAAGCCCATTTTTCATCTGTAAGTCGATGAAAATCAACTGATGGTTGGGGCCCAACAGAACTACAGAAATCCGAAGATGGAATGAATATAAAGCTGAAGTTTTTATCTGATGAATAATTACAGGATTTGCGAAAACAGAACAGCGAACGAACAGACAAAGGAGATATTAGAGACAGCGGCTCGTCAATGCGACAGTGTTTGGAGCCTATGGTAAATCACAGAGAGAATTGTGAGCGGAGTGCCCAATTTGGGGATCTTTTTGGAGGGAAAATCGAAACCCTAACTCGGTATATTGGTATTGCATGGCGGGTAGCACCGCGGGAGACTCCAAAATTGGTTAATTTTAATAATATCATTATTACGCCACCCGCTTCCGGTTAAAAAAGATGTGGGTAAATGATAGCATAAATAAATAAAAATATATTTATAAAACGTGTAGATATGTTAAAAATTACGATGAAAACTTCATCAATTATATTTTAAAATATTTTTTAAGTATAACGCAATGTTCTGAAAACTGAATCGTTCATCGAATCGGTCAAACTACTAGTTCGATGGTCCACTGGTCGGACTAATGGTTGAACCGGTTTAGCCTGTATTTAATTTATTAATATTTATATATATATATATATATAATATTTTATATAATATAATTTATATATAAAAGCTTTGTTAATTAAATTTTTAAGATAATTTAGAACATTAAAATACTTAAATTAACTAATAATAACTTATACATGTCCATTATTGATATAGCCACACTGTCGTAAAACAGTCCAAATATTATCGAGTCGATTTACCCGAAGTCGACTCTTCCTGCGGACTTGTAATATCTCCGGTCTGCCAGGATCTACTGACAACGGATGATAGTACAGTTGACTCGACTCGATGTCCCGAGTCGACTGAGGACGTCTCGAGGCTTATAGATCTCCGACGATTCCGGTATACTTCAATATATCGATGACCCAGTCGACTCGAGCTGATATCCCGAGTCGACTTAAGACGTCTCGAGGCTCGTAGATCTCCGACGATTCCGGTATACTTCAACATATGATAGGGAAGCTATTGAGGATAAGAAGAAATCTAGATGCTGATTAGGAGATGGACGGAATGCGAACCGACCAGGGTATTTCAGACATTTCCAGTAAGTCGGCCAGGGCATTTTGGGAACTTCAGGTAAATGTTTTGCCTCTATATAAAGGTCCTGGGGTAACCCCAAAACCCTAACTCTCATTCATTCTATATTCTCTTTCATTACTGCTGCTGCTCTCTAAGAGCAGCTCTCTTCATCTCTTGCACATACTGACTTGAGCGTCGGAGGCTCTACGCCAGAAACCCCTCCGGCGTTGAGTTCTTGCAGGTGTTCTCGCGGTTCAACAACGATTCGATGGCGATCGAGACAGATCTGAGCTCATTCCATCGGTTCATTTCAGATCTAAGCCTGTTTTCATTGATTCACTCCAGATCTGAGAGGAGACCCATCATTTTGGCACCGTCTGTGGGGAGTTCTTGAAGGAATTAAGTGTTTTACACCTAGCTTTGATCTGTCTCTGATGGCTGAGAAGGAAGGACTGCAGAAGAATTTGAACGAGGATTTCAGGGCAATGTGGACCGACAAGCGGCCTCCGCCGATTCCCAACCCCAGACCACTGCTTCAAGTGTTTGATTTCCCACCATTCGGAACACACGCACCGTCAGGAGCGCGTGTGGGGGAGGAGACACCTATCACCCCACCTGGAGTCAAGATCTCAATGCTCACTCAAGGGGAAGCCAGCCACGTGAAAGGCACGAGCGGAGGAGTCGATGGTCATGAATCGACCGAAACATCTCTGAGCTTGGGGAGGCAGCCCGGACAACTTGAACAGGGAGCAAGGCCACCACCCCAAATCGAGGAGCAAACACTAATCATGACATGAAGCGAAATGCAGAGAATGATTGCAGAGGCAGTGGTGACCCAACTCAAGCAGGCACAAGTCGAACCACCCAGGGTCGAGCAACTAAGGGTCGAGCAGCCTCGGATTGAACAACTACCTCCTGAGCGTGAACAGCAAGCACAGTCCAATGAGAGGCCGAACAGGAGGGCGGAAGAAGAGGCATCCTCAATTAGGACTGTTAACCCGCAAGCAAGAGACGAGACGTTGGAACAGTTGTTGGCCCAAGTCCGCGATTTACATTGGTGGTTCAAGGGGACACCCATTCTCGAAGCACATCCTCGACGCTGACTTACCCCAAGGCTTTCGTGACCTTAACATAAGTTACGACGGGTCGACCGATCCGTCTCGACACATGAGGAGTTTCGAGAACATGGCAGTGCTCCATCGTTATAACGATCCGATGCAGTGTCGAGCCTTCTTGATAACCTTGAGGGGATCTGCCCAGGATTGGTTCCATCAGCTACCTCCAGGGGCCATCAAGGATTTCGATGGATTCAGTTCAAGTTTTCTCAATCAATTTGCAAGTGTTAGACCACAGGAGAAGTCATATCTAACTCTGATGGGCATACAACAGAAAGAAGGTGAGTCACTACGAGATTATGTGGCGAGATACACGAAGGCATGCGTCGAGGTGCCCAGGGCGTCGGAAGAGATAAAGGCGGGAGGTTTAACTCGAGGGCTACTACCAGGCTTGTGTAGGAATTCTTTGGCAAAACGCCCAGGTAGAACGTTTGATGAAGTGCTGGAGAGATGTGCAAAATACATGAACGTCGAGGAAGCAGAAGTCGATTTCTTACAAACAGCTAAAGTAATCAAAACGGACTCTCGGGATGAGAGGAGGGAAAGGAAGAATCCCTCGATTGGGGAGAGAAAGGGGTCCCCGCAAACGGAAAGAGAAAGGCGACCTAGGAGCTGGAGGCCTACTCAGTACAGCCCTATGGCAGTTCCCCTAGCCAGAATTCTCGAGGTCATGGAAAGGGAGATTTGTGACAATGTGGTGAGATGGCCCAAAACAAGGAATGACGAACCGACAAGGCCCAAAAGCAACCTATACTGTCGATTTCACAAAGATTATAGGCACAATACTGACGATTGTAGACACCTCAAAGACGAGATTGAGAGGTTGATAAAAGCGGGCCATTTGAAAGAATTCATATACAAGGATCGCGAGAGGACGGCCCGAAAGAAGGAGAGGAGCAAGAGCCCTCGTAAGAGGGCGAGGTCACCCGAGAAGGAGGAGCATCCCCCGAAAAGGGGAGTAATTCATAGGATTTTTGGTGGGCCAACTGATGGAGACTCGAATCGAGGAAGAAAAGCGTATGCCCGAGGGAGGCACTCTAAGGTCGAGATACAACAAGTCGATGAAGGAGGCCAGTGATGAATTTTGGCCCAGTAGACGTAGGAGAGGTCAAAAGGCCTCACAATGATGCCTTGATGATAACCGCCCAAGTATCAGGCTATGAGGTACAAAGAATCTTTGTCGACACAGGGAGTTCGGTGAATGTGATCTTTTACGACTGTCTTAAACGGATGGAGCTCGACATCGAGCTTGCACCTCTGCATACATCACTCTTTGGTTTCAATGGATCAGAAGTCGCACCCCTGGAAGAAACTACGCTCGTTGTCGTCCTAGGGGAAGGCGACTTGAGGAAAGTAAAAATGGTGCGGTTCGTTGTAGTTGATGTCGAGTCGGCTTATAATGTGATTCTGGGCAGGCCGGCGCTCAATGCATTCCAAGCAGTGGTGTCGACCTACCATATGAAGCTAAAGTTCCCCGTTGGGGATAGAGTATGGGAGGCCCGAGGAGATCAGAAGCTATCAAGGACTTGTTATCAAATAGCAGTAAAGGCAAACCAGCGAGCGGAGGTAAGAGAAGGAAAGAAGCCAATGTTGAACGAAAAAAGGCCGAGGGGAAGTGACCTCGAGCCGCATGGAGAATGATGGAAATCCAGATCGGGGAAAGAGAGGATCAAACCACCAAGGTCGGGAGAGAGCTGGGGGATGAGTTGAGAAAGCAGTTGGTGGAATTGTTGAAAGAATTCAGAGACATATTCTTTTTCTCTCCTGAAGAGTTAACGGGAATCGACCCGAGGGTCATGGAGCACAAACTCAATGTCGATCCCCTCAAAAAGCCCGTCAAGCAGCGACTTAGGCATCATGGAGCTGAGATCGACAAAGCAATCGAGGTCAAGTTGGATAAGTGGCTCAAAGCCAAGCATATCAAGGAAATCCAATTCCCCGAATGGATATCCAACACAGTGATGGTGAGGAATGCACTGAATAATTGGCGCATGTGCATTGATTTTCGTGACTTAAACCTGGCATGCCAAAAGGATCACTACCTTTTGCCGAGAATTGATTAGCTAGTCGACTCCACGGCAGGTTGTGATCTGCTAAGTATAATGGACGCATCTCTGGGGTATCACCAAATTCCGTTGGCCAAAGGGACATACTGTTACGTCGTCATTCCCTTTGGGCTAAAGCATGCGGGGGCGACATACCAAAGGCTGATGGACCGAATGTTCAAACCGCAGATCGGGCGTAATATGGAAGTGTATGTGGACGACATTCTGGTAAAAAGTATGTCCTCGACTTTGCATGTCGAGGATTTAAAAGAAACATTCGAGATGCTGAGGACATTTGGGATGAAGCTGAACTTGAGGAAATGCGCCTTCGGAGTGAAGGCAAGACGATTCCTTGGTTATGTCGTGACTGATAGAGGCATTGAAGTGAACAAAGAAAAGTGAAGGCCATACTCGACATGGCCCCGCCAAAGAGTATCAGAGAAGTGCAAGTCCTGACAGGTCATATTGTCGGCCTGAGTAGATTCATCGCTCGAGCGGCGGACAAAAGTTTCCCGTTCTTCAGGTTACTTAAAAAGAAAAAAATTCAATGGAATGGCGAGGCGCAAATGGCATTCGAAAAACTGAAAGAATTTCTAAGTGAGTTGCCACTATTAACAAAACCAGAACCCGACGACGAGCTGATGCTTTATATCTCGGTAGGAATATTTTCCTTGAGTTCAGTATTGTTGTGAGAAGTAGGAGGAGCCCAACAGCCGATTTATTATACAAG